ATCCTAACAACTTGCCGACGGTGAGTATGTATATATCAATCAGCTTTAGATGCAACTAGCAAATATTTACAACGTTGTTTTTAATAAACTATAGCAATTTGTCATGTATTGCTCACTACTCATAAGCTTCAAATGGTTGACAACTCACTTTAAATGACACACTTGCGAATAGAAAATACTCAGCATATAGCATGTCATTATATTACATGTTGATCCATAGACAGGATAAGATTGTTTTCAATCATTATATATTAAACTGAACTAAGTTCACAAGAGGTAGCGACACACTGGCTAGTTTGCTAAATATTTATGCCCGATATTTATTTGTATTAGTAATATTACATATGAATATATTTTTCCAATGAGAGATAGTTTTTGTTGTCTGTATTTATAGCATACTTACATTATGCGTGTATGAACCACCTTATTAATTAAACTATATATTTCAAACTATAAAGTCATGCACAGTCATACTGGCTTGATTTTATTTCCACATTTTTTTTATTGACTACCATTCCAAGCTTTTGATTTTCGAGTGGCATAATAGCCAAGAATAACCAGTATAATGGAAGTCAACGTTTCCATTATTGACACTAGGAGTATATAGTCAAATATAAAACCTTCTAATTCATTGAGTATATTATTTTGTGTTTGTAACTGAAGTTTATTGCAGTCTAAATTGTGCTTCCATTATATACAATGAATATAAAGGAAATGAGTGTTGTGCTAATCGATTTATACACTAATGCATAAACAAACAAAATACCGCTAAGAAAGACCAACTAATATAGCAATATAACAAATAATATCCAAGAATGTTGCCTAAAATTATCTTTGTTGTTGTTCCATCATATTACTTTGCAGTTCAACATTAAAAACGTACGTTTTCCTGTTTTTCTCAACCAAACATAGTACTTTGTTACATTTCAGTGCAACTATATGTAAGCATTGAATGGAATGAAAAGAATAACACGAGTTTATTTATATTTCAGGATTTGAATAAATTAATGCAGAACTCTGGCGATGAGGGTGTCATAGTGGTAGCACTTGGGTCATTTATAACGTTTCTTCCAAGCAAAACACTTGACACAATACTCACGACACTTGCCAGATTTCCCCACGAAATAATATTCAGTTACAGTGGATCAACCCCTAGACATATTGGTGATAACATAAACATTTTCCAATGGTTCAACCAGAATGATGTTTTAGGTGAGCTATGTGAGTATGTGATGCTGGTATGTAAACAACGTAATTCATAATGATAAATTTGTAATATTTATATGTGTTGTGTTATTGAATTGAGACTACATGATACCATTAACGATTTGGTTATTTGAATATAACGTAGAAATCCAACATTTTAATCATTACGTAAGGTGATGTCTCAAGTATGTACCATCACTTCATTTGAAAAATTGTAAAAATTGGAAATTAAAATATCTTTACAAAAGATATGGTTATTTGAATATAACGTTGATTTTATTTATATATCATGCGAACAAGTGTCATATATATATGTAATTATGATCTGTATTTTCACCAGCTCATCCGAAAACACGATTATTCATAACTCATGGCGGATTAAGCAGTTATCGTGAAGCTATGTATCATGGTGTTCCAATGGTATGCATGCCACTAATGATAGATCAATTTGACACTGCTGCAAAAATTGTATCTAACGGGGTTGGCACATACGTCAAAATGAAGTCACTGAATAATGAGAACTTGTACGAAGCCATGGTGGAGGTGTTATCGAATAAGAAGTAAGTCCTCTATCATATAATATGTACAAATACAGTTGAATAGGATAGTCTGAATAGTCTGTTTATACAGTGGTAAAGACTGAGACAATCAATATGTGATGTGTTCATGAATTACTTTAATTTGTTGCAGGTACAGTGACAGAGCTAATCAGTTGTCAGCCGCTGTAAAAGATGTTCGGATGAATGCAACAGAAACCGCCGTTTTCTGGATTGAACACGTGACAAAATATGGTGTCAGTCATTTGACTGTTCATAGAAAGCATCTTTCTGTTATAGAGTATTACTTGCTTGATGTGATTGCAGTGATAGTTACAATCATGTGTATTGCAGGCTGGTCATTACGCTGGTTCGTGACCGTGTTATTGCGTGGTATTCGGCGTTAGTCAACTGAAATGACAAAAAAAAATATATTTTTTTTGTCATAAATATTACAATCAATTATAATATTTGAAACATAAATATGTGGGATGAAGGTATATATGGGAGTGAAAAAGTAATTTAAATGAAAAGAATACATTTATCTGGGAATCTGACGAATTTTACATTATTCCTAAATTGTTAAATCATATTTTTTCTGTTTACGTGCTTTATTCATTTTCACTTAAAAACGTAAATCACAACATGAGTGTAAATGCTGACAACTAACGCAGAGTTTGTAACACGTACTCAAGTGTCCCT